AGCTAAAAGCTAAAATTAGCTCACAGCACCTAAAACCTAAACTAGCAAAAATGAGCAAAACTTTTTTTAAACGTTAACTGCAGCACAAGTAAAGCTAAAAGCTACAATTAGCAAAACAAATATCTGCAAAATAAACTGCACATAAAAAGATGAAAATAGCATATTTGCATCTACTTAACCAAGTTTTAGAAAATTGTTTTAAGGAACTGAAGATATTTTAATGTTTTTCGATGGGTATGACTGCCAAAGTGGGCACTATGTAGGCAACAACATGCACAGTCTAGAAACGCTCGTTTGCAAGCTTTGAAGACAAAAAAAAGTTTTAGAAAATTGCTCTAAAAATGAGGCGAAACTTAAATTCTCCGAGACTTCAACAGAAAATTTGCAATTTTGAGTCGCCAACTAGTTTCCACCGTTCGCCGCTTATTGAGACACCGGCTTTCGGTTCATCGCTCCGACTTATTTAAAGGGATAAAAGAAAGAGCTGAGCATACCTGTACCGTTTCCAACTGCCTGCAAAGTGGCGTCAGGCCCCAGGACATCAAAATCATCTTTTATTTCATCTGTAGAGAAGCACAGAAGAAGAAGACAAAGACAGGAGGGTGAGTAATGGTGACAACGAGGCCTTTAAGAAGAAGAAGATGGTATGTGGAAAGCAATAAAGGCACCGCTGTGCGTCGCCGCGCGCCATAGCATTTTCAGCATGCTTAATGAATGCTATCGTCTGGGCCAGACAGTGACTTATTTACCTTTAACATGACAACAAGCAGCAGGGGAGGAGAAAGAAAGCCTCCACCGCCGAACACGGCGATTAAATACAACATGGAGCACATCCACCTGAGCAATCACAGAGCTCCAGCCAACACGCAGGCTGAGCTTATTACTCCCCGGCTGTGACGGCCGCTGCAATCCTCCGCATGCACCATCACGCCGTGTTCCAGCATATGTCGTTTTGGTGGACGCTTTCATCCGACGCTGCTTCGGCTGTTGTAAGCGGACACATTTTTGTGATTTGCCACAAGCCCTGGCAGAGAGCTGGCGCCCCGCTCCTGGAACTAAAAGGAATACAAGCCAACGACCACAAATGAAGCGTTGTAGCTGCAGAAACATTTCTCGGCGGCAGAAATAACCCCCCACTGGTCAGGGCAGACCTCAAGTGGGCGGGCCCGACGAGTCAATGTTTTGAAGTGAGCGACGAAAGTGAAGTCTTTAATTCTGGGGTTTACGTACAGGATGCTAAAGGAGAAAGTGCATTTTTAACCATAAGTAGAGATCTAGGTTGTTCGTTGCCATTAAAGGTGGGCAACGATGTAAAAGCCTGTTTTTGCACATGTCTCAAATTTTTTCACTTAATCCCCAATCACTGAGAAGTGTCCGAGGAACTACCTCTACAGTTTTGGTCTACAAAAGCCCAGTTCTTCCAGCCTAATCAGGGTAATGGCATCCATCCTGCGCAGACAGGCAAATATTGTTTTGGCACAGGTGAGGCAGCAGTAAATAACCAGCAGATTGACAAGCTCATAAACAAACCCTCTTCTGACAAATCCTTCCCCTCTTACGGTCAACGGGAGGACACAGATCGGACAATCAGCCTAAGAAGTCCCCGGTCCCTCCTTCCTGCCTCGGTGGTACAAATTAAATCAAGGTGCTTCCGAGAACATGTGACCTTTGTTAAAAACAATAATAGAATCCAACATTGTGTTCCTTGTTAGCTCTTGCGCTACTGCTCTGACAAGGACATTACAAGTCCTGCATTGTGAAGGGTATTTTTTTTTCCAGGATCTGATTTATCTGAGAGACCTGTCATTTAAAACAGTTGTTAGCTATCCAGCACCTTCCGAGGTGGTCCGGACCCCGTTTTCCCCTCATATGTTTGGTATTCTGAACACAGTCTGTCCAGAGCGAGCTGAAGGAGCTCCTACTGAACTGAAGTAACCCCACCAAGGCAGTAGAGTGGACATCTGGAAGTCCAGCTGATTAAAGATCATTAAATGGCCATCCTTGGGGATCTTATAAAGATACTGTGTTTTTTTGTTTTTGGGAAAGAGAGTTAATGAATTGTTTATTAGAATCCTTTTTAGAAAAAAAGATCAGTGTTGTCTGGATTTTATTAATCAGAGTGGATTACCAGATGTTGTATGGCAGATCAAAGTTCATGCTCAATAATCCAGGTAAAAAAATCCAACTAAGTTCAGTCAGGTCCTCTGGACGGTTTCTTTTTTAGTTGTTGAGATGTTTTGTCCTTCAATCAAAGGACTTTATCAATCTGAAGAGCCACAAACGAACTCAGTCACACAAGCAGCACACTCCCTGGCTATGGCTGCCTCAGAGGAGTCGACGGGGGAGAGGGCGGGCCCCATAAACCATCTCATCACCAGTAAACTTGTTTGCTCACTATGGGAGTGTGCTGCTTGTGTGACTGAGTTTGTTTGTGGCTCTTCAGATTGATGAAGTCCTTAGGATGAAGGATGAAACATCTCAACAACTAAAAAAGAAACCGTCCAGAGGATCTGGCTGAATTTTGTTGGGTCGTATGGCAGAGTTTCTCTTTGGTTTATTATTTGTTTTTACTGGTTTTGGCCTCTCTGCGGTCACTGGTAACTATAATTTGCTGTCAATCAGAAGCCAAACATCCAAACGTACTGCATTTCATACAAGATCATTACCAGACCTGCTGATGTTTGGGGTGTTGCTCACTGACAACCTTCTATGTGACGTGACTCTGTGTGTTTCACCACCGAGTGTGAACTGAGGCTGCACTCAAATCACCCAAAAACGGATTTGTAAGAACAAATTACGAACGGCCTCTGACTGTCTCTATGGTTTTCGGCTTGATTTGGAGAAACCTGGATGAGATAATACCGGAAAAGGTCGTGGGTGTGCTGTTGATAATAATGCTATCCTGCTTACATTACTCCGCACAAAAGCCAGAAGCAACAAGGCTTTTTATTTTCATCTGAAAACAATGGGCTCCATAGCTGTGGAATGCATTCTAGGGGCTCGCAATTCAGGGTTTGCTTGAAATTAAAGATGTGGCCTCGGTGGTGAGATGATAAATACCCCAGTAAATAGCTGCAGAGAATAATGACAGACTCCACTGGAGGAATAGGTTAACTTCCTCCATGCCAGAATGGCTTTTTTCCCCCCTCTCTGATGATTGCACATCTTCCAAAGCTCCACTATGGGAAACTGTTTGCACTTAAAGAATGTGTTGGACAAAACTCTGAGCTACTATCAAAGCAAATCTTAGCTGAATATCAGTAAAACTGTTTGAATTGTAGCCATTTTTATGCTTGCCAAAGTAGATTAGCTGTGGCGGCCACCTTAAATCTGGTTGACTCCAAAAGTTTGTCAAGTCTAGTTGTATATGCAGTAATTCTTTACAGAGAGTTTTATTAAAATCCCTCTTTCGGTTCATGAGTTATTTTGCTAACAGACAAATGCACACAACTACATGATTCTGCTCTACTATAAAAGGTGGATGATCGTGTAACTAAATATACCTACAAGTATCAGGTAGTGTGTATAAACCGCCTTCTTTAGTGCTCTAAACAGAACTCCCTCACACTTCTGCGTGCTCGCTGGCACAATGTTTGCTCTGGGTAATCAAATTTGACTGCATGCTTTTGGTCTGACGCAAGGGGATGACCAGTGGGATTAACTGGCCCTTCACTCTCCCCTGTTTACCTTGGAAAACTTTTGTTATCTGTGGTTTGAAGGGAGGGATGGCTGCTTCCAGTAGGAGGTGGACTTACACCACGTACACCTCTCGGCTGTGGCCTCTGGCACATGTATACGCGCAGATCCGTGCTCATTCTGGGCCACAGTCAAATGGGACAAAGTATCATTGTGGTGAGGTTGGTTTCTATGCAGAAATGGTCAAAAGACGCCCGATTTTGCTAGAAACTGCATGGTTTTGTCATACGTTTTCACTAAATATCTATTTATGCCAAAATACGTGTGCGTATTCTTACTCCTGGGAAGCAGTTCAGAGGTAACTGAAGTATGTTTTGTCAGCAGTAAATCACACAAAACTCAAGGCGGTAAGGTACACACCTCCTTGAAGAGTGATGTTGAGGTCTGAGAGTCGACACGAGGCCCAGGAGGAGTCCAGACTACCTCGGCCCCGACTGTAATTCCACCTATTTTCATAGTGGCTCTGATGGTGTTTATTTTGAAAACATTCCTATTTTTATGGCCGGTCACCGAAGTCGCTTTAAAGTTCTGCTTTTGTGCTTTTAGCCTCGGTTATCCTGAATCTGTCAGGTTTTAGTAACAAAATCACAGGATTAGACTTGAGGTTTAGATATTTTTAGAAATACAAGCGTAGATTAATTTATTTGTACCCTTTCATGGAAGAAAGACAGTGAAACTGATAAATCCAGTATTAACTGAAAGTCACCTAATGAAAATCAGTCATTGCTGCTCAATTCAACAGAATTGTTTCAATGAACAAACTTGTGAAAATAGCCTTAATAAAGTGCTATGTGTTGTCATCATTGTATGTTGCCATACAAAGACGAAATTGGCTCTCTGCATTTAACCCATCGCACCTGGGATACACCCAGGTGGAGCAGTGGGCAGCTATGTAAGCGCCCGGGGAGCAATTTGGGATTGGGTGTCCTGCTCAGAGACACCACAAAATGTGCAACGACCGGGGATCGAACCCAGGATCTTCGGGTACTGAGTCGGCTGCCCTACTCCTATGCCATCTCAAAATGGATGCTTTCCTAATTTAATATCGTGTTGCATTATTTTTGAGTCAATCACTGCAATCAAGTGATTTCTGGAACTCTCTGAGACGTCTCCACCTATCCTCAGGTATTTTGGTCCACGTCTTGTGATTAAACTGCTCTCCAAATTGTATGTTTCAGCTCCTTCCACAGATGTTCAACAGGATTTAGATCGGGGCTCAGCAAGCCACTTCAGAACATCTATCCATTATCTATCTTTACCCGCTTCTTCCTTTTCTGGTTGCCGCGGGGGTCACTGGTGTCCATATCCAGCTATCTGTGCGAGATATGGGATAGATCCAGGACGGGTCGCAAGTCCACCAGTCCAGTGTTTGGTTCTGAGCTATTTTTGGTGTTTCTAGCAATGAGTTTTAGGTCATTATCCTGTTGAAGGACGTGTGACCTGTGACCATTACCAGGTTTCTGACATTGATGGCACATTTCACGCCAGAAGGCTTTGATAGTCTTGATGTTTCATTGTACCCTGCACAGATTCAAGACACCAAGCCTCCTCCATGTTTTACTGTAGGTACAGTGTTTTTATTCTTTGTTTCATTGTTGGGTCTGAACATAGAGCTGATGGGACTATTTGCCCCCCCCCCCCCCCCAAAAAAAAAAAAAAAACAGTTTTCTCCCATCTGTCCAAAGGACGTTTTCCAAGAAGCTTTGTGGTTGGTCAATACGTATTTTGGCAAATTTCAATCTGGCTTTTTTACGATTTGGTGTATTCTTTGGTCATCTTCCTTTCAGTTTGGCTTAAACGGCGATCAATGATGCGATCTTTCACTGATGACCCTTGACCTTTGAGTTCACTGATCTCTTTGGAAGCTGTTCTTGGATTTTTGGTCTCTATTAGTATAATTCTCCTCTTGTTGCCATGTCCAGGGAGATTAGCTAGTCATGGGGACCTTAAATTTGTGAATATGTACAATATGTCAGGGACACTTTCATAAGTATGTCTTTTTAAATAATTTTGTTGAACCAAAACTCAAAAGCAATGACTGACTTTTATTTATTTTCAGTAATATGTTTTCTAATATTACTTCCGTCAGTTTTGAGTTATTTCAGTGACCATTGTGGGTGCAAACAGATTTATCCACGTCTGTATGTTGTCAGTCACAGCTTTATGTGTTTTCACATCCAAATAATCTGAATCCAACTCTTGGCGGCTGCTATAGACGTCTAAAACACTGCACTTATTGTAAGACATGCTCGACTCCTGGACGCAATTGATGTTTAAGTGACAGCTGCAAAACTTGTGAGATGTGCAAAGAAAACAAAGAGGCCCTGTCCAACCAGAAACACAAGCCAGATTTGGCAAAACCACATCCGGAACATGGAAACAAGCCAGCTGTGGTGTCAGAAAAGAGTTTCACGAAACGAGAGCAGGTGATTTGTTTGAAAACGTCTGTCGGTGATAATGATGTCATGTTTCTCTGGCACATCGCGTCCAGCCTCGCTGTGGGACTGAGGAATGTCAAGGACGGAGACAAGATTGTGCCCTGGAATCAGGCGCGATAAACTTTCTTCTGCTTTTTTCCCTCACTTTGCCTTGTAAATACCGTCCGAACCTCCTCTACGCGTAGACTACACTCAGATATTGGTGTTTTCCTAAACACGTACAGTGAAATCGGCTTTATTCGTTCTCTCCTCTGAGACCTGTGGAACAACTCCTGATAGGGGAGTGACGACCAAATCATGAAGGAAGGAGGGAGGGTGCGAACTTATCTCAGGCCTGAGCTATGTGCTGAGGTATCACTGTAGACACTAAGGCACCGCGGAGGGGGGAAAAAAAGAGAAGAAGAAGAAGAAGCAGGGCTGGGAAGCACGGCACCCACAAGATTGGGAAAGAGCCTCCCAAACGCTCTAATGAACTTGACTTGCTCTCTGAAATATGTCAGCCAGTTTATCACACAAGAAGCATATTATCTGGAAATTGCAACATAGTTGAATTACAGACATTACGGCACCGCAGGTCTTTATCAAATAAACAATTACCGTATGCAGTGACAGCTTGTTTATCCTTTATCTTGATTTATTTACCAAACTGTCTCCTGTTCTTTCCACCCCTTAAGGACTTGATATGAAGTGAATGCTGATACACAATCTTTTCCCTTTTTTTGTATGTGTCCCTAATAAATGCACAACCCCCATATTAAAATTTAAGCCTGCCTGTTTCGTGCACAGCTAGTTCATTAGCAAAAATGAATAGCGAAGCCCGGCTCATTTAAATGGGCTGTCTTACATGACTTCTCTCCATACTCTGTTCCCGTCACATGCTTCCAAGAATCATTGACTCTTATTATACATGTAAATGGCTATCATAAAAATAAAAATTTCATTTAAGATTGTTAATGACTTTTTTGCAGCAGTCTGGCTTCCTTTAATGATTATACCCTGCCCCCTAATTAAAAGTATTTATCTTTCAAGCATCCGTGACTGGCACCCTCCTGCCTCGGAAGGAGTCAGGGAGGGGGTGATGGCTCAGGAAAAGACGATCAGTCAGTCAAGTCTGTGAAGGTGCAACCTGCGGAAACTTCTTTTTCTACATCACTGTAAATATCTTTTGCGAATGGGCTTAGAGCGGGGCTTTTTCTCTAAGCTGGGGAACCAACTGGTCACCGCCGCCTCACGGAGAAACTGTTTGTCTGATGCGGGGGGTGGGGAGCATCGTCGGGGACGCTGCCGTCAGACCTGGCTCGAGCGCTATTTGCAAAATGCTTTGTGTCGTTTGTTTAAGTCTACACCAGCACCAGATTGGTGGGGGTTTATGGCATAAGACAGTTCCACAAGTGGCAGGATGTGCACACAAAGTATCCAAGAGTCAGCTTAGCGCGGGTTCTTGTGATTGGCAGCGCACCTGAAGCCCACGCATCTGGTAACGCACACCAGAACCCATTTGAAACAACTTATTTAGAGAACACATTCATTCCTTGGAGAGTCTTTCAAGGAATACGTAACTTGCCATCTTTTGTAGATGAGATGTGATAGGGCTCAGTCTTTTGAATGCCTGTGAGCTACCACCACACCAAACTATATCTCTATATATGTTAAACTGATTCAGTATAGGTATCCATCCATCCATTATCTTTACCTGCTTCTTCATTTTCAGGTCGCGGGGGTCACTGGTGCCAATGTCCAGCCATCACTGTGCAAGAGGCGTCAGTATCTAAAATCTATCAGTTATAAGTATTTTTGTGTAAATCAAGTATAATTCGTTGTGGCGATCATTTCGAATTGGACTGCCTCCAAATGATAACAAGTTATAGGAAGGTACAGTATATCCAGAAGTTATTTTCAGGAAGTTTAATTTGAATGATTCAAGAGATATTTTACTGCATCCGACACTCACCGGTACCATCGACCGAGGCACTCAAGATGTCGTTGTCAGGCCAAATTTGGTCCACGCCACTGTCCCGCATCTCGTCATCCTCTTCGTCCTTGGTCAGCAGGCCGTGGCTTTCGGTGCGCGGCGACGCCTCCGGATTGGTGAGGCTTCCTGGGCTGCCCGTCCCGTTGATCAGGGGGTCCTCCTCAGACACAGGCAGCTTGTCCTCCTCCTCGGTCTCTGAGCCCGTCTCCACCACGTTCTCGTAGTTCAAAGCTGTAGGAAGAAAGGGACGGGATGTTAGAAATCTGGCTTTTGAGAAAGGGTTGAAGAAAGATATAGATGCCCCTCTTGTTTTTACTGTTTTTGGATTATTATTTTGCAGCGTTACAACCCGATTACAGCATCTGCGTCGGGAATTTGTGGCCGAACCGCGGCAGTGGGAGGACAGCTGTCCAGGAGCTGCCAGCCAAAATAGCCACTAATTTTCAGTCCTGCTCGGATGCCTCAGATGCCGACAGGCTGCACCTCCGGAGCATACCGCTCAGGTTTTACATGCTCCACATGCAGCAGCACATGAGTGGTCGCTATGCACACAAAAGGCTTAACGTAAGGTAATTAAAACTAATCACTGCGTAGGTCCTGTGGATGTTTTCAGGTTTGCATCACCAGTGAAATGAAACCATGAAGAAAATTAAAGGCCTAGCCTTCCTTAAAGACGTGCAATCTCCCACCACCTTTCATGGTAGAGTTTTAAAGTCTTACGTTGAGAATAAAAATGAGCTTTTTGAGTGAAACACTGAAAACTACATAACTGGAATGAGCTGTAAGCTCTTGGAGTATATGCTGTGATTGCTTATAAGCCACTACCACACCAAATTTGAGCTCAGTGTCTTTCAAACTGGCTACGTTTTACCCATTTCAGTGTGCTTCGGCGACCATTTTGAATCAGGTTGACTCTTAAAAGCGAATCAACTGTAGATGTGTATCCAAATATTATATTCTGAAAATTTCATTAAAATCCATGTAGTGGTTCGTGAGATATTTTGTTAACAGACAAACATGTGTGAAGTAGGCTGAAGCACACATATAAAAAAAATAAAGGCTCCTGAACAGCATCAGCAGGGCTCGCCTGTTTCTGCGGTACCCAGGTCCCTGACATATGTCTGCTTTTCCTAAAATAGACAGCCTGTAAATAAGGGCTGTGAACTCAATCAAAGGTGGCTCTCGTGCAAATTTGTCACTGCGCCGTCGGCTGTTTCTCGGCGAATACACGGCGTAAATCACAGCCGAAAATGGACGTCAGTAGACTTATTGGAGCAGCGCAGATGGAGCGCTGGGCGAGCCCGGAGCATGGCATCACATGAGGACACACCTCACTGGCAGCTCGTACAAGAATGTTCTGTGGTGAGAGGGCCCCGTCTGGGGAGGACCCGGCCACCACAGCCAGGAGGTGGAGGCTGCTTTCACATTTATTTATGTTTCGGACAAAGACGAGCATTTCTCTGAAAACAATGCAAGAACTTTGTGACCCTGGGTATGCATATCACTCGCCGCCTATCTTGCCTCAGTTTTAGAGTTACACAACAAACCTTGAAAACAAAGGTATGAGAAACTTCAAGTGATACTGCAAGATGGGTACTATGACACCAAATCTTAGCTCAATATTAGTAAAATTTACTGGATTCTACCCATTTTTGTGTTTTCTAAATCCCGTCGACTGTGGCAGCCATTTGCAATTGGTGGACTCTGAGTATTAATCACTTGTAGATGTCCATCTTATGGTTATTTCCTGAAGGTTTCATTAAGGTTTAGCCAGTAGTTCATGAGATATTTTGCTAACAGACAGACAAAGTTAGCTCCAAAATGAAAGTTCATGCTCAATAATCCAGATTTTAAAAAATCCAACAAAATTAACTCAGGTCATCAGGACAGTTTCTTATTTTGTTGAAACGTTTCATCCTTCATCCAAAGGACTTCATCAGTCTTTATGGCTCCTCGGGCTGATAGTAGCAAATCAGCTCAACAAAAAAAGAAATCATCCAGATGACCTGACTTAACTTTGTTGGATATTTTTTTTGCCTTCGTAAACCATTAGTCTTTGTGGGTCCTCAGACTGATGAAGTCTTTTGGATGAAGGACAAAACATCTCAACAAAAAAAGAAACCATCCAGATAACATGACTTAACTTTGTTGGATATTTTTTAACTTAGTAAACCATTAGTTTTTGTGGCTCCTAGGACTGATTGTCCTTTGGATGAAGGACAAACATCAACAAAAAAGAAACCATCCAGATGACCAGACTGAACTTTGTTGGATATTTTTTTACCTTAGTAAACGGCTTCTCGGACTGATTAAGTCCTTTGGATGAAGGACGAAAAGTCTCAACAGTCCAGATGACCAGACTTTTTTTTTTTTAGCTCCAAATAGTTATTGGTTCAAATTTTATCAAACATCTTATTCAATTTGTTAGTGCTCAAAATATGTGTTGTGAATAACTTTCAGCTACTACCACTCCAACTTTTACCACAGTATCTTAAAAGTTAACCGAGTTATAACCATGTTTGTGTTCTTTCAGATTACTTAGCTGTGGTGGCCATCTTAAATGGGACAGACTCTAAATATTTATTGAGTAATAACTTTGAGAGTTTTAATAAATTGTGTCCAGTGGTTCATGTGATATTTTAGTAACAGACTACAACTGCCTGCCTTCGCCTTTCAGCGTTAATTAAAACGTTTGGGTTTTTTTGGCCTGAAAGTGTCCCCTGCTCCTTCCCAGAATCTGGAGGCCCGACCAGATGAAGTCCGTGCACGACATTTCTGAAAACATTATACATATCAAAAGATAAGCCTCCCCACGTCTCCTCCTGACACGTCTCTGTGCGATTGACTGGTCTGCACTTGCCTTCAGCGAACAACTGCACAACAGGTGCAAATTAAAATGAAAACAGGGCTTTCAAACATGGGAGGGGAGGCAGGACGGGCGGGAGGAGGTGGAGGGTGGGAGTGCGGTGACCTGCCTCGAATACCAATCGGCGGAGGAAACAAAACCTTTTCAAGAGGTGTGATCACAAGGGTTTAGGCAAGTTCAGACTCAGTAATGCTCCTTATGGGTGACAAAAAAGGCAAACCGAGGCTGGAGACCCAGGAGTGGAGGGAGACATTGGGGATTCCTGGGTGGTCCGCATTCACCTTCATGCAACTAGATGCGTCCTGGAGTTAAGAACGTCTAAAGTAAAAGACATCTACCTGGGTAAAGTGTCTTACCAGAACCCATTGCTTTAATACACTCAGTTCGATCTTCTCTTAGTTGCATCATCCCAAAACTGTTCTCACCATCAGCTCTGTGTCCCCCACCCCAGCTTCCAGAGAAGAAGAAAGGGGGAAAGGGGGATACTAGAACAAAAGACCAAGAGGCTTGGGAAGCTATCAACCCGTCCCTGTGAACCTGATCCCTGGATGCAGATTCAATGACGGCGGAGCAGGGGCCGCCTGAATGAAATTATCTAAGGCTGGACAGGTTCTAAAGGGCCCATTCTTCCCCAATAAAAGGAGCGGGGGAGCTTCTTTTTGTTTCCGAAACACATCCACCGTTCCTGACTTCCCATGTAGGGAACGAGGGAGAGCGGCGCTGCAGATCCAAGCAACTTTTCCAAACTTGTGGCTATTTTAAGTTTGAAACACTTAACATCTTTTTTTTTTCTTTCTCTTGTGAAGTTTCGTCCTGGAGTTTATTGGGGGGGGGGGGGGGGGGGGGGGGGGAGGTGGGTGCGAGCACGGGGGCGTTGAACTGTCTGCGAAAGCTACAGTAGATGCAATCTTCTCCGAACGTCAGCTGTCTACCTCCAAGAAGGCAAAATGACAGCGGGGTGCTCGTCAAGTCAAATGCGTAGTATTAACACGGAGAAAGCTGCCATTGTTGAGGTGCCACCGCTGACAGGAGCCTCTCCCTCCCCAAGCATGAAGCATTTATTGGTATTGTGTCACGCAACAAAGTAATTCTAACCTACTAATATTTCGCAGGCGGCTATTCCATCTCCCCCGAACCTCACTCTTAATCAGCCTTTGTGTTGCTTAGGAGAGAGGAAAAAAGACAAAGAGGAGATAATGTTTACTCCTCAAATGCCTCTTCTATCCTTTTCTTACCTTAAATGTCATCCTTGACAAAAGCAATTACGGATGACGTTTTATTTTTTATTTTTTTCCCCAGCTACCTGTTTGTCTCTTTTGACTTGCAGATAATTAAAATGACACATGTAACGGCGTACTTCTTGTCTAATATCAGGTTTTCTGACATAACCCTTTCACAAGCTTGGCATTATTCTGCCACTCAGCGAAAAGAAAAAAAAAAGTACAGAGCAAAAACCAATAATTTGTATTGATCCGTGCAGCTAGAAGCACCAACAATCAACGGCTAGGAGACTCTGAAGGGAAGACTTACAGAGAGAGGAAGAAACAATGGTGACAGAGTTGAAGTGGCTTTAATCTAGTGCCTCAACTCCAAGATGACTGTATTTAGAAAGCATCAGGTTTGACAGCACAAGCTATGAAAAACACTTTCAGTCTGTGAGTTATTAACACAGATTAGTTGCTTTGGGAGCACTTCTAGGAGCACATGTTGAATATAAAGACAGCCAGTTACTCAGATGTATGAGAAATTTTGTGCTTGAATGTCTGAATAAAACGTAGAGGTGATAATAACCTTAAATGGACATGTTTGAGATGGGAACTTTTATGTATATTTTTTTTATCAGAAACTGGTTTGAATCTCCTCGGCGCAGTCTAATGTATAAAAAAAAGCGTCCATTGAAGGCCTAAAGACGAACGTTAGCAGTAAATTTCAGCATACAAATCAGTTCCCACTACGCTGTTAACCCAAGTTCACAGGTGTTCCACCTGCGGGGTGGGAAGGGAAATCATTTCACGGAGCTAACAGGTATAATCAGATTTACTTAACAATACCCAAGTCCAGAACTCACAGGAGGCTGCGTGAAACTGCTCAAGTGTCTGAGCCAGAGAGAAACAGAGCTGGATATGTTCAGCGGGGCCAGCGGTGGAGGTGATGGCTGCAGGGAGAATGACTAACACCCACGTTGGCGCTCTCATGCAAACCTCGGCTGACTTTTTTTTAAGTCAAGTGTCGAGGCTTAGCTCCAGGTGACACGCTCGGCCTCCTACGCCGATAATGAGCCAGGACAGTCTCCCTATTGGACGGTAACTGCTCGCACTCGCTCCCTGTCTCATGAATGTGAGCCAAGCGGATCACCTGGATGGCT